CATACATACATACATACATACATACATACATACATACATACATACATACATACATACATACATACATACACATACATACATACATACATACACACACGCACAAACGCACTGCTTGATGCCATCGATGAAGAGGGAGTCGTTGCAAAAGGCCGGGCCCGCGTTCTGCAGAATCACAAGTTGCAACTGCGCACAACAAACCAGATCACAGCGAGGTTGGGGGGGGGGAGGCGGGGGGGGGGCAGGCGAGGGTGGTGTGGTGTGTGCATGAGCTGACGTAACCCCAAGGAGCACTCGACATCAGCAAGCAAAGAAAAACAACAACAGAGCAACAAATCACCAACCAAGAACAGTCACATCAGTATCACCACCACCATCACGACCACCATCACCATCACCACCACCACCACCATCATCATCATCATCATCATCATCATCATCATTCACCTCGAGGCTGAGAATCTTGGAGCGGAGTTCGTGGGAGCGCGGATCTGCCTCCTCGTCGGCCAAATCTTTCATCGACAGCTTGCACATGGACCGGAACACCAGAAATGCGTCCTTGCGGTACACGTGCCCGTATTGCTCATCCTGAGGGGTGGAGGTGGAGGTGGAGGTGGCATGGTTCGCGGTCAGGCACGTCGTGTGATGGAACGTACAAGGGCAATGGAGTGAAGTGACTCAACAAACAAACGACAACACACGCACAACACACACGCATACGCGTTCACACAACACACATACAACACAACACAACAGGGGCGCGTGCGTACCGTGAGATCCTCCTCACGCATCTCAATCTCCTGTTGCTGCTGTTGTTGCTGTTGCTGCACCTCCGGTGATGTTGGGGCGGCCGTGGCGGCGGGCGACTGACGATGAGGGAGGGGAATGGTGGTGACGATAGTGGTGAGAGGTGGTGATGAGGAAGCCAGTGGGGAGGTGCATGCATCAAGCAAGTACACGCACACGTTACACATAGGCACATACATGACACCACGTGGGCAACAGCAGCAGCTCACCCCTGTAACGTCTGCGATGGCGGAGCTGAGGAGCGAGCGAGCGAGAGTGGCAGCAAACGTCTCAAGTGGAACCACACTTGCACCGCCATCATTACCATCATCACCATGCTCATCATCAGACGACTGTTGCTGTTGGTGTTGCGTGTCGTCCTCTTCCTGCTGGGCAGCAATCTGCACGGGCCCGCCGGTCTCCCCTCCATCGCCACCGCCCTCATCCTCATCCGCTTCCTCCTCTTCCGCTTCCTCCTCCTGCTGCTGCTGGCGTTGCTCTTCCTCGAGCGCCGCGTCCTCTGTCATCGCCTCCTCTTCAATCTGATCCTGCGGCTGAACACAGAGAACGCGCACATACACACACACAGAGTCGCCAAGCGTCGATGTTAGACGAGCACAAACATGTGTGTGTGTGTGTGTGCGGACCGCATATCCCGACCACATTCATCAATGCCGAAACCACCACCACCACTAGGACCACCATGATAGCGGTGCATCTGACCTGGGCAACGCTCTCCATGCGCTGGAAGATGACGCTGATCATCTGCGTAAGCGTCGCCTTGGCCGTCGTCTGGTTCACCAGGTTCTTACTCGTCAGGTAGATGTTGTAGCACGTGCGCACAGCCTGCTCGCGTTTGTAAGATTGGGGGAGGTTGTTGGTGATGTGTTAGATGTCAGTCACGATCGCGGGTACCAGCACTGGTAGCCGTATCAGCGAGCAATGAACAAAGAGTTCGTGATGCACCACACACACATACACACACAACAGACAACAGACAACAGACAAACAAACGAAAGGCATGCGGCGTACGCGGAGGAGGGTGCGTTCGTGGACGACGCATGTTGTTGAGGTGACGGCAGTGAGGAGCGCCTTGAGGATCTGCAGCTGCACGCCCTCATCCGTCGTTTCGTTCGTGAAGCAGTTGCTGGGCACACGCAGGGATGGGTTGTGGTGTAAGAGGGGTGCGACAAAGAGGAGTGACAAACACAATTAAAGATGTTACGTAGGGCCGTACACACACCCCCCCCCCCCACACACACACACACGCACGCACCACGTGGCCAAGACTGCTCACCAGACGGTCTCGACGAGGGAGTCCACCAGGCGCTGTGCATCCGGCAGCCCTTCCAACTGCACGAGCAAACGCGTGACGTTGAGGGGGGGGGGGTTTCAGTGTTGATGGTGTATGGGTGGCAAGAACTGCACATGAACTCGACACGGCAACTGACAACGTCACGCAAAACAAGACAAGCAGGTCCTGAAGCTGCAACTGAATGACAGTGTGCGTCTTCCCTTCTCATATGCATGCGTCTTACCTCTGCGTACATGGTGCCTGTAATGTGGCCGTATGCCATCAACTTCTGCAGCGAGTCGAGCGCAGTGCGCACCTGCATGCAAACCACAGACATGCACACAAGGGTACACGCGACAAGTGAGATCCAGCCAAGCAAGCAGCAAAACACACACACACACATACACACACAGACAAACACACACAAACATACAAACACACACACAGACACATGCACACACATACACACATGCACACACAGACACAAATATACACACAGAGCAAGCCAGGCCAACCCCTGCTGGACGCACCACTTTGGGGCTGCGCGATTCACAGGCCATCTTGAACGGCTTGAAGTACTTTTCCGACGACACGCGCATACCGCTCGCGCCCGGCGGCGGCAGCGGCCGATTCGGGTCCACCTGGTGTCCGCGCAGCATGGGCAGTGTGGACGTTAGCACGTGGAGAGCATTGCTCGAGTGCGCGAATGCAGCACCGCAGGGACGTGCCAACACAAGCTGTTCTTGTGCGCAAGCAGCGCCAACATCTCCCAACAAATGTGTTACCTTTGCGGTGCTGGCGCCCTTGTGCTTCAGCTCATTCTTGAGCGAGTCTACGTGCAAGTAGATGAGGTGTGCGAGGAGTGTGGACGTGGGTTTTGTGTGTGTGTGTGGGTGTGTGTGTGTGGGTGTGTGTGTGAGGATGTATATTTGTTCATATGTGTGTGTGTGTTAGTGTGTGCATGTGTGTGTATGTGTCGTTGATCGATGAGCAATTCCCGAGTTGCAGCATTGAGTAGTCACTCCCTGTATTCCTCTATGTTTCACCACACACGCCCAGTCGCACCTAGCGCCTGTTGACATGCTTCTCGGAGTGGGGCGTTTGCGCTCTTCTTCACGTCCTTCTCTGCCAAGATCTTCTCCAGGGAGTGAAGCAGAAACTTCTCCGTGGATGCGTTTGGATCGTCCGCCATGGTACGAGCCCCTCCGCCTGCAGAATCGGCAAACAAACACCAAGGACGAACGAGGGAGAGAGGGGGGGGAAGAGGGAGACACACACATACACACATACACACATACACACACATCACACACACACACACACAAACATATACACACATACACATATGAGCACAGGTGCACAAGACGATGCAAGTGAGCATCGATGATTTGAAGACTTCATCTCTCAAACATCCAACCCAGCACAAACGTCATGTCACTGCTTCTCAGTGTTTGTGTTTGCCGTCGTATCTGTTCACTGAAGCAGCCGCGACTCCGCTACCACACTCCCAAAACACACCAGCGACAAGAACCTCCAACGTGCACCCGCGCTTAATCCTCCATGCTTTCACCTCTCCTTGGCGCTTTCACCTTCCAAGCTCCGCTTGCTTGCCTCACTCGCTCGTCCAACGCTCAGCAGCACCACTCTGCACTCCACACACTCCACACACTCACCAACTTCTCTGCTGCTTTGGCTGCGCTGGCTTGCTCTGTTGGCGAGAAAAGTGTCGGCATGTTTCGCTAAATTTCGATCGTACTAACAACACCACAAAACAATATTAAACTGAATTCAGTCGGTGCCATTCACTTCGCTGATGACTCAACAGCCAACCAGCCAACCAATACAAAGCAACCAACCGCCTTCTTGCCTTCTCTCCTACCTTCTCTCCTGCCTTCGTTCCTTGCTGACATCCACGCGAAGCAGAGACACGACAACAACGGTGATGGCGTCGCGAGGATGTCTGGATGAAGGGTGTGAGAACTGCTGCACGGGGTGTGGAGAGTGCTGCCCTGCCCTGGCACAATACCGCAACCCAATCTCCTCTGTCGCAGCGGGCATCCTGGTACGCAGTCACGCAATGTGTGTTTGCGTGCGTGTGTGTGTGGGGGGGGGGAGGTGTTGGTACGTGTGCGTGTAGGGGGGAGGTGTGTGTTGATGTGTGTGCGCGAGTTCATGGCTTCTTCTGTCTGTATTTCTGTCTCCCTGCAATTGCACGTGTGCTTGGCGGCTTTCTTGGGATTGCGCTCATCTTTTGTGTTTGGTATGTATGTGCACGTACTTCAACCCAAACCACAATCCCCACGAACCATGACAGTTTGCTGTTGGCTGGTGGTTCATGATTGACGGCACCGTCAACGACTCCATCGAGGACAAGCACCAGGCCATCGGCGTCATGTCTACTTTGGGCTTGTTCATGTGCGTACTTGATTTGGTGGAGCAAGTGGCGCTTGTGGAAGATTGTGTGCGAGTGAATGTACATGTGTGTGCTTGTGTGTGTGTGCTTGTGTGTGTGTGTGTGTGTGTGTGTGTTGAAATTTCATTGCCATCTTGCTGAGATTGCTGCTCGCTCGCTCATCTGGCACATATCGCATTCCTCTTCTCCGTGTCAACAACAACAACAACAACCAGGGTGAATGCCATTTCTGCGGAGATGCTTTCCGGTGATGTGTACACAGATGGATGCCTTGGAACAGCAGGTGCGTCGTGTGTGCATGGGAATACGTGTGGATTGTTCTGAATGTGTGTGTGTGTGTGTGTGTGTGTGTGTGTGGGTGTGTGGGTGGGTGTGTGGGTGGGTGTGTGGGTGGGTGTGTGTGGGTGTGGATGTGTGGGTGTGGGTGTGGGTGTGTGTGGGTGTGGGTGTGGGTGTGTCAACACTCCTCCTCCTTCCATCATCTCTCTTGTCACCCACACCCGTTCACTCACTCGCCCTGTCTCCTCGCGCGAATCAGGTGCACGGGTGTGGCTCCTGCTCGGGCTGGTGATGTCGTTCGGATCGCTCATTGCCGCCACATGGGTCATGATCGAACAATACATCAAGCAAGGTGTGCTTCTGTTTGTTTGTGTGCTTGTATGTGCAAATGTGTGTGTGTGTGCTTGTGTTTGTCTGCGCTGATGCACGTGTACATACGAAACAGTTGGTCATATGTTCAGTGTGGATTTGAGTGACCGCCTCATAACCCCCGGCTCTTGTCATCTTGGTTGCAGGCCAAGACTACGCGGGCGCCTGTGTGTTCTTGCAGAATTCCCTCATCTTCATCAGGTGTGTTGACACGTGCGTGTGTGTTTGTTTGTATGGAGCTTGCGTTTGTGTTCGTGGACATGGCATTCATTCTGTGTGTGTGTGTGTGTGTTTGTTTGTGTGTGTGTGTGCGTGCGTGGGTTTGCGTTGAAGACACCACGCGCACACTGCCCGTTTCACCGCTCACATGCATTTCGATCATGCCATTAGTTCGTTGGTGTTCAAGTTTGGACGAGGCAGCGACTCATCTTGGTGAAGTGACACACACACACACACACGTGTGTGTGTGTGTGTGTGTGTGTGTGTGTGTGTGTGTGTGTGTGTGTGTGTGT